TGTATCCACTGTAGTATTTTGCGCATCATGCCTTTGGTATTTTTATATTATCCGTTGTTTATTCACTTAAATATTCTGCGTATCATGCCTTTGGTTGCCACCTAGGACTAATCAGGCTACTGTGTTTTAGTCATTTCATTATATTAATGCACCTACAATTAGTCCTCGTTACTTACTTTGTTCTTATATTTATCATCCCTTTCAAAACCCACGGCAAAATGGCGCCGCGCATATACTATATTCTGCTCTTCGACAAAATGGCGCTGGCGTAATGCGCACATGCCGTTTTGTCTATAAATACAATGAACGAACGTCATGGCAGTATTGGTATCCACCTCTGAAGAAGTGCATCAGGCATCTACACCCATCCATCCCTTAAAGGGACCTCTGGTTGACTGGATCTCTTATCTCCTGTGAGCTCCGACACCTTTGCCTCAGAGGGAGGATTATCCTTGGCCAGGATCATATCCGACTCCTAAAGGGGACTTCTACTGATTTATTTAATGCGTATTTACATTACGCATCTGGTGAGTGCGTATTTCTACCACACTGTTTTGGAGCATCGACACTGGATCTTGTTGTTTTTTCTCACCTAGAGCTGCACAGACTGTCACTTTTGGATTGCTTCGTTTGGCATATTTTTATATGTATGAACTAATATATTTACTACTATTAGTGCTGCACTTATTCATTTATATCAAGGTACTATGGGGTTGATTTACTAAAAGAAAATACTGTAGACTGTGCACTTTGCAAAGTGTAGTTGCACTCTGCAAGAGCAGTTGCTGCAGGGCTTTGCAGACTTCCATCATCCAATCACGTGCAAGCAAAAAATGTGTTTTTTTTTAATTTTCCCTGCATGTGATTGGGTATTCTTTGTAAAGTGAAGCTTTACCTCATCTACTAAGCTCTGGAGCAACTGCACTAGCAAAGTGCACAGTCTATTTGCCTTTAGTAAATCAACCTCTATGTGTTTTGGCATGAGTGAATGCACATGCGTTAGCAAGATGCGTCAAGAATGAATGGCATGGCACTGCCGCACCTTTGCAGTTTTGTGAGCTTTGTGGGAAAGAATGCGATTTTATGATCACAACGCACAGGTGTGAACAAAGCCTCAAAAATATATCTAAAGCCATTTTTTTTGTTTTGGATATGGTAGACAATGCTTGAAACCTCTGTTAAGATTTTCTTTTCTGTCTGTGCTGCATTGGTGAGATTACCCTTCACTTACCCAGACACAACAGGAAGTGAGGGCACATTTTTTGCAAATGTCCCCAACATTTCATATTCCTGATATGTGTCTGTTGTGCCATGTACTTGTGTTAAAAATAATCATGTTGTCTTTGTATTGCTTCCTTTGTGTGTTCCTTGGTGTTCCTGCCTCCCAGGCAAGCTGACCACGTGAAATCCTGCGAGAATGTGCTCCGGCACACTGCAGCTTTCACATCAGCTAAGCCTCCCAGGAAGTGCTGAAATCTGGGACCAAGGTAAGATTTTTTAATTTTGGGGTTGTTTTTTTTTTTTTACAATATTTACATTTGGGGATGGCTCCCCGAAACCATCAGAAGCCAGGGCCAATTAGTATTTTGCACATCATGCCTTTGGTATTTTTATATTATCCATTTTTTAGTCACTTAAGTATTCTGCGTATCATGCCTTTGATTGCCACCTACGACTAATCAGGCTACTGTGTTTTAGTCATTTCATTATATTACCCTCCCTGTCGGTATTCCCCAGTGTAGCTCAGGGTAAAGTTTCAGCACCACAAGCGGTAACCTCGAGCTACACTCGGGCTTACCATGCGGCGCTGCTCCGGGATCTGTTCTTCTCTTACCTTGTCCTGCGCTCCCGCGATGTCCTCCTGCAGTGTCCCCGGCAATGTCCTCCGGCTGATGCCGGCATCTGTCTTCCGGGTTCCGTTCCCTGCGACGTCGGGATGTACGGGGGATGGAACTGGCGGGAAATTTGAAAATGACAAAAAGAGACATTCACTAAATTCCCTAAAATCACATAGTATAACATTCCTGTATCAAACCATTTCACATACATTTTGTCCCGAGTGCTTTGTCCGGCGCCCTGCCTGCATTTTTACTGTTCTTTCTGCCTGGAAACTGAGAAACGTCCATGGCGTCCAAAAAGCGTCCCTTTAGGTTAAAAGCAGTTTTAGACCATCTAGAGAACAGCGATAGTAAATCAGAGCCACTTGCAGAATTGAGTGATAATGATTCGTGGGGGAAATTCCTCATCAGACACTGAAAACGATTCTGCGACTTTGCTCAGCGATGTGCGATCTTGGCGCTATATTTCAAAGTTCAGTGTTTTTGGTTTGATTATATTATTGAATTAAATTTATTATTATATTATTATTTTTTTATGATTATTTATTAAATTATAATTTATGATTTCGTGTTTCAAGTTTTATCATACCCGGGATGTTTACTAGACTCTTGTTCGGACAGATTTCAGGGAGTTATTCCTAAAAATTACAGGCCTACAATAAAAAAACTACATATTTCCATGCAAAATAATGCTACCCGCTTTCAGCACCAAAAATCGGAAATAATTAGACCGCTAGGGAGGTTAAGTATTCTGCGCATCATGCCTTTGGTTGCCACCTAGGACTAATCAGGCTACTGTGTTTTAGTCATTTCATTATATTAACTCCCCTGACGGTATTCCTGAGTGTAGCTCGGGGTAAAGTTTCAGCACCACAAGCGGTAACCCTAAGCTACACTCGGGCTTACCATGCGGCGCTGCTCTGGGATCTGTTCTTCTCTTACCTTGTCCTGCGCTCCCGCGATGTCCCTCCTGCAGTGTCCCCGGCAATGTCCTCCGGCTGATGCCAGCATCTGTCATCTGGGTTCCGTTCCCTGCGACGTCGGGACATATGGGGGACGGAACTGGCGGGAAATTTGAAAATGACAAAAAGTGACATTCACTAAAATCTCATAGTATAACATTCCTGTATCAAACCATTTCACATACATTTTGTCCCGAGTGCTTTGTCCGGCGCCCTGCCTGCATTTTTACTGTTCTTTCTGCCTGGAAACTGAGAAACGTCCATGGCGTCCAAAAAGCGTCCCTTTAGGTCAAAAGCGGTTTTAGACCGGCTAGAGAACAGCGATAGTAAATCAGAACCACTTGCAGAATTGAGTGATAATGATTTGTGGGGGAAATTCGTCATCAGACACTGAAAACGATTCTGCGACTTTGCTCAGCGATGTGCGAACTTGGCGCTCTATTTCACATTTCATTGTTTTTGGTTTGATTATATTATTGAATTAAATTTATTATTATTATATTATTATTTTTTATGATTATTTATTATATTATAATTTATGATTTTGTGTTTCAAGTTTTATCATACCCGGGATGTTTACCAGACTCTTGTTCAGACAGATTTCAGTGAGTTATTCCTAAATATTACAGGCCTACAATAAAAAAAATACATATTTCCATACAAAAAAAATGTACCGTTTTGAGCACAGAAATATGGACATAATCAGAATGCTAGGGAGGTTAATGCACCTACAATTAGTCCTCGTTACTTACTTTGTTCTTATATTTATCATGCCTTTCAAAACTCGTGGCAAAATGGCACCGCACATGCGTGCGCGCATATACTATATTTTGCTGTTCGACAAAATGGTGCTGGTGTAATGCGCACGCGCCGCTTTGTCTATAAATACAATGAACGAACGTCATGGCAGTATTGGTATCCACTTCCGAAGAAGTGTGTTCGCATGAAACGCATTAGGAGGAGCCAATACGCTGTGACGTCACACCACCGGAGCCACGTGGAGACCCGGCGGCCATCTTGCTTTCTGGACAGTTAGTCCATTCTTCATTAGCTGCATACTATCAATTACTCTAATTAATTTATGAATTTGCAAATTCGATTAATTAGTAAACACATTGATTTTACCTACTACACTATGGGCACTTTTTATGCGGAGCATGCATGCGGAGCAATTCATTTATAGAGCCCACCTGATCCAGCCCACTGCATTATCTAGAGAAGGGAGTTCCTGGCATACAGGCATCTACACCCATCCATCCCTTAAAGGGACCTCTAGTTGACTGGATCTCTTATCTCCTGTGAGCTCCGACACCACCACCTTTGCCTCAGAGGGAGGATTATCCTTGGCCAGGATCATATCCGACTCCTAAAGGGGGCCTCTACTGATTTATCTAATGCGTATTTACATTACGCATCTGGTGAGTGCGTATTTCTACCACACTGTTTTGGAGCACCGACACTGGATCTTGTTGTTATTTCTCACCTAGACCTGCACAGACTGTCACTTTTGGATTACTTCACTTGGCATATTTTTATATGTATGGACTAATATATTTACTACTATTAGCGCTGCACTTATTCATTTATATCAAGTTTTGAGGAGGTTTTTATATTGGTTACCTTTAGTGCTTTAGCTGCTACCCTTAGAGCGCTCACTTTTTTATTCTTCTTTAACCCCATAGTACCACGGTAGCATTCATTTTGGTGCGATTTTTTTCTTTTGCATGTTTCTCTCCTCTGGGAACTCCAAAGACATGCTGGTAGGTTAATTGTCTCCTGTCTAAATTGTCCCTAGTATGTGTATGTATGAATGTGAGTTAGGGACCTTAGACTGTATGCCCCTTGAGGGTTAGAGACTGATATGAATGTACAATATATATGTAAAGTGCTGCGTAAATTGATGACGCTATATAAGTACCATAGATAAATATCCAGTAGCATAAATCTGGCTGCACACATACAGTACATTAGTTCTTTTTCAATCAGCAAGCCAAAGGATTCCTCCATCCACACAAACAAGGTGGATGGAGGATTCTCCCCCACCGGGACAATGGGGTTGATTTCCTGAAACTGAAGAGTGCAAAATCTGGTGCAGCTCTGCATGGTATTACTTTATTATTATACAGGATTTATATAGCGCCAACAGTTTGCGCAGCGCTTTACAAAATGAAGGCAAACATTACAATTACAATACAATTTGGTACAAGAGGAACATAGGATGGGAGAAGCTCAGGAGAAGTCCTGGAGGTGAGCAAGGGAGGAGCTGACACGGGAACTAGAGAGAAGAAGGTCTTGGGAGTTGTGGATGGCTTTGTAAGTTGTTGTTAGTATTTTGAATTTTTTTTTCGTTGGGTGAGTGGAAGCCAGTGTAGGGATTGGCAGAGAGGGATGGAGGACGCTGAATGGGGGCCAGTAGAGGGATTGACAGAGAGGGGTGGAGGACACTGAATGGGAAGCCAGTGGGGGTATTGGCAGAGAGGGGTGGAGGACACTGAATGGGGGCCAGTGGAGGTATTGACAGAGAGGGGTGGAGGACTCTGAATGGGGGCCAGTGGAGGGATTGGCAGAGAGGGGTGGAGGACACTGAATGGGAAGCCAGTGGGGGTATTGGCAGAGAGGGGTGGAGGACATTGAATGGGGGCCAGTGGAGGTATTGACAGAGAGGGGTGGAGGACACTGAATGGGGGCCAGTGGAGGGATTGGCAGAGAGGGGTGGAGGACACTGAATGGGGGCCAGTGGAGGGATTGGCAGAGAGGGGTGGAGGACACTGTGTGGAGGCCAGTGGAGGGATTGGAAGAGAGGGATGGAGGACACTGGATGGAGGCCAGTGGAGGAATTGGCAGAGAGGGGTGGAGGACACTGTGTGGAGGCCAGTGGAGGTATTGGCAGAGAGGGGTGGAGGACACTGAGTGGAGGCCAGTGGAGGGATTGGCAGAGAGGGATGGAGGACACTGAGTGGAGGCCAGTGGAGGGATTGGCAGAGAGGGGTGGAGGACACTGAATGGGGGCCAGTGGAGGGATTGGCAGAGAGGGGTGGAGGACACTGAGTGGAGGCCAGTGGAGGGATTGGCAGAGAGGGATGGAGGACACTGAGTGGAGGCCAGTGGAGGGATTGGCAGAGAGGGGTGGAGGACACTGAGTGGAGGCCAGTGGAGGGATTGGCAGAGAGGGATGGAGGACACTGAGTGGAGGCCAGTGGAGGGATTGGCAGAGAGGGGTGGAGGACACTGAGTGGAGGCCAGTGGAGGAATTGGCAGAGAGGGGTGGAGGACACTGAGTGGAGGCCAGTGGAGGGATTGGCAGAGATGGGTGGAGGACACTGAATGGAGGCCAGTGGAGGGATTGGCAAAGAGCAGTAACAGCCACTGAATGGTTAGTAAGGTGGATGAGTCTGGCAGTAGCATTCATGATGGACTGGAGGGGGATAACCTATGGAAAGGTAAGCCAATGAGGGAGTAGCAGTAGTCGAGGCGAGAGATAACCAGGGAGTGAATTAGGAGCTTTGTGGTATCATTTGTTAAAAAGGGGCGTATTTTGGAGATGTTGCGGAGGTACATCCAATCAGCTTCTAACTTCAGCTTCTTCATTTAAGTTTCCAGTAAAACCTGGAATCTGATTGGTTTCTATGCAGAGCTGCACCAGACTTTGCACTCTCCAGTTTTAGTAAATCAACACCAAAGTATTATGACAGCAGCCCCTGACACTGTAAGAATAGACTGATCAGTGGCTGGAGCTGCTGATCATCAAAATATTTCCAACTTGTCCCTTTACGTCACTTGTCACACCACTGCCATTTAAAATAGTGTGATTTTTGTGCATTTTCAGCACGATTTCAGGGGAGATTTCCGAAGACTTTATTGCTACTTGTGAATATTTTCAACGATTTCTTGCGATTTGCAGTTCAATTTCCATTATTTTCTATGTATGTGAAATCGCAACAAAACTGCAGAAGAGGTAATGCCAGAACTACTTTAAAAAAATCATGCTGCAGCAAAATAGCACATATTAAGACACTGACATTAACATTCATTACATGCGGATTTCAGGTGCGATTTCAATTTGTAAATCGCACATGAAATCGCACTAGTATGACTGGGCACTAATAGAAGTTGATTAAACGATCGACTTCTGTCAACTGGGAACGGCCACACACTGATCGAAATTCATAGGCATCCATGGGGAGGTAATGCACAGGGGTGGCCAGGACAGTGAAGACTTGCACCATTGGATGTAAGTAAATAACAGAATTGCGCCCATCAGTATGCATCTACCCACATGGAAGAAAAATATATTTGAAATATATTTTAAAAATATTATTCCCAAATATATTGACATATATTTGAAATGCAACAATTTGGGCCGTATTCAATATATTTCAACATATATTTTAATAAATATATATATATATACTGTATGTTGAAATGTGTTTTTATATATTACAAAATATATGAAAAATTTTTTAAAAATATACATTTTTAACCACTTCCCATCCAGCCCATCTATATAAACGACTGGACAGGAGCAGTGCAGGGGTGGGTTGCCGTTCATAAACGACGCCCGCCATTTTAGCCTGTGCACGTTCCCTAGGAACACTGATCGCTGTACAGGACCTCTGTGTGAGGTCCCGATCATGTGATTACTGATTGGCCAATCAGTGATCACATGAATAGTAGTAAGCAAGATGTCACTTGTGACATCATTGCTTACTACTAGTGAAATCTGTGAATGATCACAGAGATCACATGGTACAAGGCTATCCACAACAGCCTTGTACCATGTGACAAACTGTGACCAATCACAGCTCTCACAGTATTTCTCAATGGCTGCAAGAATGCAGCCAGAGAGAAGGAGAAATTATTACTATTACAGCCTTTATGGATGGAAAAGCAATCAGTGTACCACAAGTAGTGCAGTGTCACTATGGTGACACTGTACTGCTAGGGTGACAGTATGTTATAAAAAAAAACAAATAATAATATAAAAAAAAACTTAAAAAAATGTTTGTGAAAAATTATAATTGTTGGTTATAAACTAGTTTGGGTAATTTTTTTTTACTTTACTAAAAAGATAGCTAAATAGATTTTGGCCAATATTTATGAAAACAGATTATTTATTTGCAAACTTTTATAAGAAAAACACTTTTTTTCAAAATGTTTGGACTTTTTCATTTTATATAGCAAAAAAAAAAAAAAAAAATCCCAGTGGTGAATAAATACCACCAAAATAAAGTTTTATCTGTTTCAAAACAATGCTAGAAAATTCATACGGGTACAGTGTTGCATGATCGCGCAATTGTCATCCAAAGTGTGAAAGCGCTGAAAGCTGAAAATTGGCCTGGACAGGAAGGGGGTGGAAGTGTCCGGACTGGAAGTGGTTAAATATTTTCTTCATTTTTTTTAACATATATAAAAAGTCATTTTAACATATATTTATACATATATTTGTAGATGCATTCCAAAAATGTAGATTTGTATTATAAAGACATACAGTATATTTGAAATGTATTTTTTAAAATATTTTCATATACTTTGTAATAAAAACGAATATCAACATAAAGTATATATATATATATATATATATATATATTTATTAAAATATATTTTGAAAAATATTGAATATGGTCAAAATTGTAGCAATATATTTGGAAAGAATATTTTTAAAACATATTTCAAATATATTTTTCTTCCATATAGGATATTGGGGGGGGGTTGGTTATGTTGGGTCGGGGGAAGGGGGTAAAAAAGGGTAAGTGCACTTATCCTTTAAGCCTTCGAATACACGATGACAGGATGAGCTCAGAGGTGCCGGGTTACAGTCCAATGCTACAAATGTTGTGGACTCCATCGTTACATCTTTAGATGGAACCAAACAATGCCATGCATTTATGGCCCTTGTAGAGGTTTATCTGAGAATCTCCTGCGAAGCCCCTTTTATCCGACCCCTGCCTGCCAAAATCGGTAGCCTGAAACCCCAGAGCAGCAGGAGAGAGCCGGAATAATCTCCCAACTACGCCATTGCAAGTCTTGTGGAGATACACGGGGACAGCTGTACATATAACATGGATCTGGGCCTGGGATAAAGAGGGCCAACCAGACAGGTGGTTAAGTGAGGTCAAGCCCAGGATGGACAGGTAGTGGGGAATGCTGGGAGGAGAGCTAGAAATGCAGATTAAATTTAGACTCACAGCGATTTATTGGGCATTTATTGCTTGTTCTAGAGACTTAGAGACCAAATTATTATTCGGCATTAACGAGAAACAGAAAAATAAAGAAATTAATAAATAAAGCGTATTTAAACCCAAGAACTGTGTAATATATTGCAGCTTAGATGTGTCTGCATTAGTTTTCTTTTTCAGGCTTTTGTTTCCTTTATTTTCACCTGGTGATCCTGCACACTTCCTGTCCTAGGGTGACAATGCTCACTCATCATATTGTATCTGTAAAGGGTGTTTTCACCCTAGGACTACAAACAGCTCCCCATCTCCAATTCTCAATAACATAAAGCAGGGGCCTCCGGACCTTCTAAACTAAGGGCCAGTTTACTGTCCTTCAGACTCAAGGAGGGCCGGACTCTTGGGAGCAGAAAAAGTCCTGACTTCTGCAGAATAAACAATGCCACATCTTTGGTATCACTGGGAGGAATAGCACCTCATCGTTACTGTCATTGGGCCCCATTGTTGGTTTCATTGGGAGGTCTTGTGCCCCATCATTGGTTTCTTTGGGAGGAATTGTGACCCGTCATTGGTATCAGTGGGAGGGATAGTGCACCATCATTGGTATCAGTGGGAGGGATAGTGCACCATCATTGGTATCAGTGGGAGGAATAGTGCCCCATCATTGATATCAGTGGGAGGAATAGTGCCCCATCATTGGTATCAGTGGGAGGAATAGTGCCCCATCATTGGTATCAGTGGGAGGAATAGTGTCCTATCATTGGTATCAGTGGGAGGAATAGTGCCCCACCATTGGTATCAGTGGAAGGAATAGCACCCCATCATTGGTATCAGTGGGAGGAATAGTGTCCCATCATTGGTATCAGTGGGAGGAATAGTGCCCCATCATTGGTATCAGTGGGAGGAATAGCGCCCCATCATTGGTATCAGTGGGAGGAATAGTGCCCCATCATTGGTATCAGTGGGAGGAATAGTGCCCCATCATTGGAGTCAGTGGGAGGAATAGTGCCCCATCATTGGTATCAGTGGGAGGAATAGTGCCCCATCATTGGTATCAGTGACAGGAATAGTGCCCCATCATTGGTATCAGTGGGAGGAATAGTGTCCCATCATAGGTATCAGTGGGAGGAATAGTGTCCCATCATTGGTGTCAGTGGTAGGAATAGTGTCCCATCATTGGTATCAGTGGGAGGAATAGTGCCCCATCTCTGGTATCAGTGGGAGGAATAGTGTCCCATCATTGGTATCAGTGGGAGGAATAGTGCCCCATCATTGGTGTCAGTGAGAGGAATAGTGCTCCATCATTGGTATCAGTGAGAGGAATAGTGTCCCATCATTGGTATCAGTGGGAGGAAGAGTGCTCCATCATTGGTATCAGTGGGAGGAATAGTGCCCCATCATTGGTATCAGTGGGAGGAATAGTGTCCCATCATTGGTATCAGTGGGAGGGATAGTGCTCCATTATTGTATCAGTGGGAGGAATAGTGCCCCATCATTGGTGTCAGTGGGAGGAATAGTGCTCCATCATTGGTATCAGTGGGAGGAATAGTGTCCCATCATTGGTATTAGTGGGAGGAATAGTGCCCCATCATTGGTATCAGTGGGAGGAATAGTTCCCCATCATTGGTATCAGTGGGAGGAATAGTGCCCCATCATTGGTATTAGTGGGAGGAATAGTGCCCCATCATTGGTATCAATGGGAGGAATAGTGTCCCATCATTGGTGTCAGTGGAAGGAATAGTGCCCCATCATTGGTATCAGTAGGAGGAATAGTGCCCCATCATTGGTATCAGTGGGAGGAATAGTGCCCCATCATTGGTATCAGTGGGAGGAATAGTGCCCCATCATTGGTGTCAGTTGGAGGAATAGTGCCTCATCATTGGTATCAGTGGGGAAGAATAGTGCCTCATCATTGGTATCAGTGGGAGGAATAGTGCCCCATCATTGGTATCAGTGGGAGGAATAATGCCCCATCATTGGTATCAGTGGGAGGAATAGTGCCCCATCATTGGTGTCAGTGGGAGGAATAGCGCCCCACCATTGGTATCAGTGGGAGGAATAGTGCCCCATCATTGGTATCAGTGGGAGGAATAGTGCCCCATCATTGGTATCAGTAGGAGGAATAGCGCCCCACCATTGGTATCAGTGGGAGGAATAGTGCCCCATCATTGGTGTCAGTGGGAGGAATAGCGCCCCACCATTGGTATCAGTGGGAGGAATAGTGCCCCATCATTGGTATCAGTGGGAGGAATAGTGCCCCATCATTGTATCAGTGGGAGGAATAGTGCCCCATCATTGGTATCAGTGGGAGGAATAGTGCTCTGTCATTTTTATCAGTGGGAGGAATACCACACCATCATTGGTTTCATTGAGAGGAATTGTGCCCCATATATACACCCATATGGAAGAAAAATATATTTGAAATATATTTGAAAAATATTCTTCCCAAATATATTGACATTTATTTGAAATGCTACAATTTTGGCCATATTCAATAATCAATATATATATACTGTATGTTGAAATGCATTTTTATTACAAAATATATGAAAGTCTACATTTGTGGACTGCATTTACATATATATGTAAAAATATATGTTAAAGTGACTTTGTTATACGTCAAAAAATCTGAAGAATATATTACAAAAAAAAAAAAAATATATATATTATATATATATATATATATATATATATATATATATATATATATATATACATATACAGTAATATATATATATATATATTTTTATATATACTGTAATATATAGAATATATATATATATATATATATATATATTACAGTATATAGAATATATATACATATATAATTGTGACAGTTGGAGGTATAATTGGAGTCTCAGGATGAATAGTGTGTATATATATACCGTATATATATATATATATATTGAATGTTGAAATGTGTTTTTTAATACAAAATATATGAAAATCTGCATTTGTGAAATGCATTTACAAATATATGTAAAAATATATGTTAAAATGACTTTTTATATGTTAAAAAAAATCTGAAGAATATATATAAAAAAAAAAAAGATATATATATATATATATATATATATATATATATATATATATACACATATATGATTGTGACACCAGGATGAATAGTGATGACCAGGTATAATTGGAGTCTCAGACTAAATAGAGTATTACACACATATTTGTATGTTTCATTTTGTTTACTTTATTTATGTCAGGAGGGTATCACATAGATTTGAATCTATTATTAATTATTACATTCACTTATATAGCACCTTCAATTACGCAGCACTTTACATATAAATTGTACATTCACATCAGTCCCTAACCCTCAGGAAGCTTACAATCTAAGGTCTAACTTACATGCATACATACACATACTAGGGACAATATAGACAGGATCCAAATAACCTACCAGCATGGCTTTGGAGTGTGGGAGGAAACCGGAGTACCACGGAGGAAACCCACACAGGCACAGGGAGAACATGCAAACTCTAGACTGCAGTCTCATCCCCTGCCTGGAGGTGGAGCTTGGTGGCGCTGGTCACATAGGCAGCCATGAAGGGAAATTTTTCAAGAAACTTTGTCACAGGCTTTAAACCAGCGGCACTATTTTTTCCTTCCTCCACTTTTACTTGTATAAATAAGTCTGCTCCTAGGATCATTGGAGAGTTAATGGGATAATCACAAATCCCTTTTGCCTTGTCTCTGTATTTTGCAGGATTCCACGCCTCGCAGGGTCTTACAGAAGGCTGGCTTCCCACCCTGCTTCTCCTGCGGGATTATAACATCCCCTGTCTGTTTACAATGTACAGGTAAGTGTTCAACCATGGCATGTCATTTGCAGTGGTCCTGTTCCATTTAAAGAGACCCTGTCACCAACATAAAAAAGTCAGGTAAAAAGCAAAAGAAAGTCAAACATTTTAAATTCTTACTTGCAGTGTTTTTCCTTTTCATAAAATATTTTTTTACTTGCAATGGGCATTTGAAAAATGTGATTACTCCATAAAAAAAGTGAATTCCCTGACACAGGTCCTCCCTTTCTTGCATGTTGGTGCTGTGCTAGCTCCTTTGTCCCTCCCTTTACCACCCTACATAACCCTTTATGTGGCTGTCTAGGAAAGAAGGGGAATGGTTCTGGGGCAGCAGACATTTATGAACTGGCCATGGATGAAAGACTTCATAGAGGGTGATGGGCAGAGAGGCTGTCTTCTGTGCTACAGTGATCAGACCTGCAACCAGTCAGTATCCAGTTGTACCAGGGCTGGTACAAGGTGTGTGGGAGGAGCAACTGCCCTGGGTGCAATGGTTTATTGTAGAGATGAGGGTTCCTGCCTTTAGTTACAAGGCTGGGCAGTTTGGTATATTTGCTCTGGGCATTGGATGACCTTGTCCCAGCACTGGCTCATACAGAGATGTTCAACCAGATTGGACAATCTCTCTGATGAATACTAATACTCCAGCACTCTCCTGTGCCTAGGCATCTGATCATGTGACTGCTGCTGAAGGGAAGGATCACAGTTCACACTTTGGCTGTGACCACATGAACAAATGCCTGGGCTTTTGGTCACATGATCAGCTAAGGAGGGAGACAAGAGCGCTTTTTCTCCATCCCCATATCAGACCCATTACTCTTCATTCATCCATCTCAGCAAGACCGTTAAAGCCAGAGCTGAAACCTTTAAAGGATACATTTAAAAATGTTACTAAACCCCGGACCCTGCATTCACTATATCTGGTCTCCCCGGACCCTGCATTCACTATATCAGGTCTCCCTGGACCCTGCATTCACTATATCAGGTCTCCCTGGACCCTGCATTCACTATATCTGGTCTCCCCGGACCCTGCATTCACTATATCTGGTCTCCCCGGACCCTGCATTCACTATATCAGGTCTCCCAGGACCCTGCATTCACTATATCTGGTCTCCCCGGACCCTGTATTCACTATATCTGGTCTCCCCGGACCCTGCATTCACTATAACTGCTCTCCCCGGACCCTGTATTCACTATATCAGGTCTCCCCGGACCCCGCATTCACTATAACTGCTCTCCCCGGACCCCGCATTCACTATATCTGGTCTCTGCGGACCCTCCATTCACTATATCCGTTCTCCCCAGACCCTGCATTCACTATATCTGCTCTCCCTGGACCCTGCATTCACTATATCCGGTCTCCCCGGACCCTGCATTCACTATATCTGGTCTCCCCGGACCCTGCATTCACTATATCCGCTCTCCCCGGACCCTGCATTCACTATATCTGGTCTCCCCGGACCCTGCATTCACTATATCAGGTCTCCCTGGACCCCGCATTCACTATATCTGGTCTCCCCGGACCCTGTATTCACTATATCTGGTCTCCCCGGACCCTGCATTCACTATATCAGGTATCCCCGGACCCCGCATTCACTATAACTGCTCTCCCCGGACCCCGCATTCACTATATCTGGTCTCTGCGGACCCTGCATTCACTATATCCGCTCTCCCCGGACCCTGCATTCACTATATCTGGTCTCCCCGGACCCTGCATTCACTATATCTGGTCTCCCTGGACCCTGCATTCACTATATCTGGTCTCTCACAGTATACAAAACATGGAAATGCAGGTATTTTAGTAACTATAAACTGCTAAATACCTTTTCTCATCAGCAGTATATAGCAGTCTTGTGACTTCTATCAGTGTCCAGCAGAGCACTAGTTAATACTTGTAGGAAGAGCTTTCATACTGCTGTAGGAAGATGCAGAACCCCTGACCTCTGTCTGATTGGTCCTGTGCTGATCACATGCACTCTCCCAAGAAAAAAAAAACCTCTGTAGCAATACACACCAAACTGAGCATATGCAGAGTAACTCCACAGATATGGCTTATCAGGAGATAAGAAGGGGACACTGGAAGAAAGGTAGGATCAGAGAAGACAGGATCAAACAGCCTTTTTACACAATGCAGAGGACTAACCCCTCAGGTTCCACAGTGAGTAACAAGCATGCTTTACTGCATATATAGACTGTACTGTTGTGGGTTTATTAACATTTTAAGCTGCCTTCTCTGGTTTCCATCCTCCACCCTCATGGATATGTTAATTATTTTTTTCTTAATTAAATCTTTCTGCATTAATTACATACATTATTTTAGACCCAATGATGCTTCACTTGGTCTCTGTGCTTCTATATGCAATGCAGGCAGTTCATGGCTGTTGGGAGAGGATGGCAGGGTGCTGTATATAGAAAGCAGCACAGCATAGCACAGCCTCCGCTCAAGAGCCTGTAGTTCTGTTACAAGCAGTGGGCTCATGCTTGAGGGAGGTTTTGCAAATACCCAAATACTTTGATGGGTGCGTGTCAGTCTGGAGGAGTGGGTGTTCTGAGGCCGACTGTGTTTTCATGCAGACCCATATGTGATGCTGTCCTCCATGATTAAAATACATGGGATCCAGTGAATGAATGGGGTGGCCCAGGGACAGTCAGACTGGGGAGGAAAGAGCTAGATGATACTGGATGTCCGCCTCCAGGAAATGAGGCAGACTGTATTTGACTTGCTGCAGCTTCTAATGCACATTGTGAGAAGCTCACAGTGTGCGGTGAAGTCAGAGTAAGTAATGTCAGTCCAGGAGAGGAGCCGGTACACCTGGGCAAGACTGAAGGGAAGGCTGGAGGTCACCTTTAAAAGCAGACCTGACTAACATCTGGGATCTTTTTTCTGTTGACAGTGATCAAGAGCTGAAATACTCCCTACAGATCTTGGCCGAGCTGGAAATGAAGGTTCTTGGGGCCGGACCCTTCCCATTCGCCTCCTGCAAGCCTGAACAGGTCCAGTCCGACCCTAACAAGCCCCCCGTCTCCAGCAACTCCCACTTCCTGCTCTTCAAGGGGACCACCTGGCAGGACTCAGAGACAGACATGGGAGAGTTGGAAGACTAGATCTGCTCCTTATACTGAACCCTACAGAACCGGCCATTCCTGTCATGTAATATGGGGATTACCACTAATGGAACCCCACAGACCTAGAGGGATACTGTACTGCAGTGGTCTCCAAACTGTGGCCTGGGGCCCGGATGTGGCCTTGCTTTTGTCTGGTCCTCGAGGAATTATTTCATTCCCCGACACCAATACTGGGGCATAGTTCCTGCCAATGACACCAACAATGGGACCCAGCGACACTAATGATGGGGCACAATTCTTCCCAATGACACCAATGATGGGGCATAGTTCCTCCCAATGACACCAACAATAGGCCACAGTTCCTGCCAATGACACCAACAATGGGACCCAGCGACACTGATGATGGGGCACAATTCCTCCCAATGATACTAGTGATGAGGCACAGTTCCTCCCAATGACACCAACAATGGGGCACAGTTCCTCTCAATGACACCAAAAATGGAGCCCAATGACACCAATGATGGGGCATAGTTCCTCCTGATGACACCAACAATAGGCCAGAGTTCCTGCCAATGACACCAACAATGGGGCCCAATGACACTAATGATGGGGCACAATTCCTACTAATGACACCAATGATGGGGCACAACTCCTTCCAATGACACCAATGATGGGGCACAATTCCTCCCAATGACAACAGTGATGGGGCACAATTCTTCCCAATGATACCAATGATGAGGCACAGTTCCTCCCAATGACACCAACAATGGGGCCCAATGACACCAGTGATGGGCACAATTCTTCCCAATGATGCCAGTGAAGGGGCAAAATTCCTTCCAATCACACCAATGGTGGGACACTATTCCTGCCAATGGCACCAATGATGGGGCACAATTCCTATCAATGACACCAAGAATTGTTTACTCCAACTGATGCTGGGACATTTTCTACTCCCGATGGTCACAGTGCAGGCAGTACACTGGCCCTTTGTTTAAAAGGTTTGGAGACCCCTGCTATAGTGTATAGTCAGTGAGGACACATTATGAATCATGACGGTAACAGTAACTTTTCTGATGTAACTTTAATCTTTCACTTACTTGCTGTTCCATTTTTTCATCAGTAGACTATCCCTCTAGTGGTCCTTTAAATACCAAGCAGTACAGTCAGCATCCTTGCTGATCAGTGCTAAGAAACAATCAGGGAGTCACACAAAGCTGTGTTCGTTTTTGATCGGTGTGTGAGTCAGGAACCATGAGAGAAGTCACCATTGGAATCCTCAAGAGATAGAAGAAGCTGATGAGTGCCACCTGAATTCACCTAGAACTGAAACACCGCTCTTGCGTGGACTGACCCTTAACCCTGATCCCATTGAATTTCTAAAAAAATTCATATCTGAAAAAGCTATAAAAAATTTTTTAGACTCCCTTTGAAGAGAACCTATCGTTCACATAACAGGAAAAAAGAGCCTTGCCTAAAAAAATGAATCTGATAGCAATAAGTCGCTGTTTCTAGGCCACACCAAGAGCTCTGTTTTTTCCGGGACAGATATCTGATGGAGCTCATCCATTTTCCATGAATGATAGACTAGTTGGACATCAATTTTTTTAGCACTCAGTAATTCTAATCTTAAATCTGTCAAAAGATGAAATGCGTCGGAGCGAGATCCCAGGCCAGACTTTGATGCCTATGTCTCCAAACAATAAAGTTTTACTGCTGACATTTTCGGTGTGCAGCTGGTCCGATATTGACCATGGTTAGGTAGACATGTTAGCCATGTGAGTTCCTGTGATGTGAGGATAACCTACTCCCTATGCAGCTAAGTCCTACCTACCACTTCCAATATAAGCACCTAAAAAGAGGTTGGGTCAATGAACAGGAAAATATTGGGTGGGCAGGACTGCAATGTCAGAAAATGGAACCCTACAGAGTCAACCTGAGATTAGAGGAGCCTACTAAAAGAGTTTTTTCTGAATAATGGAGACCATAGCAGGAACATCGTAGGGTCCGCTCATAGATGGGACTTTCACTTTTCCAAATTTGAAGTGGCTGATAGGTCAAATGTAAAGCTAAACTCTGGTGAGCCTCTATGAGGTCCTTGGTCCCACAGCACAAGCTGTGTGGAGTTATAGCCTGGGCACTGGAGGCTAGCGATGGCTGAATCTGCTTGGGTTCCATTCATGGGGAGGTTCAGGGAACACAGCCAAAAATCCTCAAATTGCAAATCCCACTGAAGTCAAAGGGAGGAGAATCTTTAAAATCTATTCTTCCCATTTTCAGGACTAATAGGTAAGAGATTGTCAAACAAAGGACATGAGGAGGTGAGCACTGCCAGGAGGCACACGTACCGATAACAAATAATAATAAATAATGAACTAATAAAATAATAAATACAATGAAAATACATCATGGGTTCCAGATGAGGTCTTACTAATGATTTGTACCGTGGGGGGGGGGAGTTATGGGTAACTATGTAACTATTATTATTATTATTATTATTATTATACAGTATTTATATAGCTCCAAAGGGTATGCTCAGCGCTGTACAGTAGCAAGGGGGACAGAACATGAGACAAGACAATAACAATACAATATACGAGGGGTTCGAGGGCCCTGCTCTTTCGAGCTTACAATCTAGGAGGGAGGGGAAGGTGGTACAGGAGGAGATGGCTGTGGGGGACGGAGTGGTGGGAGGAGTGGAGGAGGTTAGTTGTTAGGTGAGGTCGGGTGTTAGGTGAGGTTGGGGTACGCTTCCCTGAAGAGGAGGGTTTTCAGGGTGCACCTGAAGGTGAGGAGGGTAGGTGACAGTCTGATGGATTGGGGTAGGGAGTTCCAGAGGATGGGGGAAGTCCTAGAGAAGTCCTGCAATCGGGCGTGGGAGGAGGAGACCAGGGAGCTAGATAGTAGGAGGACCTGTGAGGAGCGGAGGGCACGGGTAGGGTAGTATTTGGGTATCAGGTGAGTTATGTAGTTCAGGGCGGCATTGTGAATGGCTTTGTAGGTCAGAGTTAACAGTTTGAATTTGATGCGTTGGGCAATCGGGAGCCAATGAAGGGATTGGCAGAGGGGGGAGGCAGATGTGGAGCGGTTGGTGAGGTGGATGAGTCTCGCCGCTGAGTTTAGGATCGACTGGAGTGGGGATAGCGTTAGCTTGGGTAGGCCAGTGAGAAGGGAGTTGCAGTAGTCCAGGCGTGAGATGATGAGGGAGTGTACGAGTTGTTTGGTGGTGTCTGGGGTGAGGAATGTGCGTATCTTGGAGATGTTGCGGAGGTGGAGCCTGCAAGATCTAGACAGCAGTTGGATGTGGGGTAGGAAGGAGAGGTGGGAGTCCAGGGTGACACCCAGGACTTTGGCGTGTGGGGTGGGAGCGATGGTGGCATTGTTAGTAGTGATGGAGAGGATTGGGGGGGGCACGGGGGGGGGGAGACCAGGAGCTCGGTTTTGGATAGGTTGAGTTTGAGAAAATGGAGCGACATCCAGTCAATAAATAATGAACTAATAAAATAATAAATACAATAAAAATACATCATGGGTTCCAGATGAGGTCTTACTAATGATTTGTACCGTGGGGGGGGGGGGAGTTATGGGTAACTATGTAACTATGTGATTTCTCCGTGGGTGGATAACTATAATAATACATAATGGGTTCCAGATGAGGTCTCACTAATGATTTGTGCCGGGGAAGTTATGGGTAACTATGTGAATTCTCCGTGGGTGGATAACTATAATAATATAGGTAAAAAAGGAAAATGCGTACAAGTAACAGAGGACCTTTCTGCAAATGACAAAACAATTTTTTTGTTCAGTTTAATGAAACCTAAATAAATGTCAGTTGTACCCAGGACCTCTTGTTCTCTCTGCTCTTGTTATTTTAGGAACAGTTGCCTAAAATAGGAACCAATCAGATTCAAGCTTTATAAAGCCTAACTCTACATTTAATGGTCCTTTTAATAGTTTGTTTGGGCCAAGCTGGCACACATGAACTATTTATTGCACTAACAGGTGCCCTTGCCGGGGGATGTGTATTACCTGTATGTTGCCCAGCTACATATAGTATACCGCCTTGTGTTTCGGCAGTGGAATGGGGTCTTCCCATCCTACACTCGGGACAAAATAGAGTTGAGCTGAAGGCTGCTCAGTCATTCATAGGAACTTTTCTATGAATGAATACAAGGCTTGGTCCAAACAAACTATTTAAAGGGGCATTCAATGTGGAGTTAGGCTGTAAGCTGCAGTTGTCATTGTCCTGGCATTGCTCACGTGGGATTGGTTGTTCTGGGGCAATGGGGACTGTTAGCACTTCATACATTTAGATAAGCGACGGTCAGTGTGAACTATGCTGAAACTTGGTCTTAAGCCGAATCCCATGGCTCCATTCTAGACTTGTTCCTTTTATCCCACACAGACAACCAGGGTGCTGGCAACCACAGCCCGTCTCTAATCTCAGTGAAAAGTATGAAATATATAAGCCACACTCCAAAACTTAGCTCTGTGTCAGTCAGTTTCTGTGTCAAAAAAAAACTGAATACATTCATGTCTCCACCCAAAACCAACCTTCCAAAAACAACTCATGGGGCCCCCGGGCAATAGGGGATCATGGGGCATTTTTCTATTAAATACCAAACATGTTATACAGGTGAAACTCGAAAAAGTAGAATTTCATGCAAAAGTTAATTTATTTCAGTGCAGCAACTTAAAAGGTGAAACTAATATATGAGATAGACTCACTACATTCAAAGCAAGATAGTTCAGGCCGTGATTTGTCATAATTGTGATGATTATGGCTTACAGCTCATGAAAACCCCAAATCCACAATCTCAGAAAATGAGAATATTGTGAAAAGGTGGAATATTCTCGGCTCAAAGTGTCCCACTCTAATCAGATAATTAAGCCAGAACACCTGCAAAGGGTTCCTGAGCCTTTAAATGGTCTCTCAGTCTGGTTCAATAGGAATCATAATCATGGGAAAGACTGCTGACCTGACACCATCACTGACACCCTCTATAAGGAGGGAAAGCCTCAAAAGGTAATTGAAAAAGAAG